TCAGGATGATATTTGCTGTGGTACCTTCATAGATAGATTTTATGAAGTTGAAGAATGTTCCCTCTATCCCTATACTTTGAAGCGTTTTAATCAGGAACCGATGCTGGATTTTGTCAAATGCCTTTTCTGCTTCAATTGAGAGGAACATGTGGTTCTTCTTTCTTCTCTTATTGATTTGTTCTATCACATTGATTGATTTGTGAATGTTGAACTGTCCCTGTAGCCCAGGAATGAATCCCACCTGGTCATGGTGGATAATCTTTTGAATGTGCTGTTGGATCCTGTTTGCTAGGGTCTTGTTGAGAATCTTAGCATCCATATTCATCAGTGATGTTGGTCTGAAATTCTCCTTTTTGGTGGGGTCTTTCCGTGGTTTGGGGATCAGGGTAATGCTGGCTTCATAGAAAGAGTCTGGAAGTTTTCCTGCTGCTTCAATTTTTGAAACAGCTTCAGGAGAATAGGTGTTATTTCTTCTTTGAAAGTTTGGTAGAATTCCCCAGGGAATCCGTCAGGTCCTGGGCTCTTGTTTTTTGGGAGGTTTTTGATCACTGCTTCAATCTTGTTACTAGATATGGGTCTATTCAGGTTGTCGACTTCTTCCTGGTTCAATTTTGAGAGTTTATAGTTTTCCAGGAATGCATCCATTTCATCTAGGTTGCTTAACTTATTGGCATATAACTGTTGATAATAACTTCTGATGATTGTTTCTACTTCCTTGGTGTTAGTTGTGATCTCTCCCTTTTCATTCATAATTTTATGAATTTGGGCTTTCTCTCTTTTCTTTTGGATCAGTGCAGCCATTGTTTATTGATCTTATTAATTCTTTCAGAAAACCAGCTTCTAGTTTCATTGATACATTCTACTGTATATCTGGTTTCTACCTCATTGATCTCTGCTCTAATCTTGATTATTTCACTTCTTATTTGTGGAGTTGGTTTTATTTGTTGTTGATTCTTCAGTTCTTTAAGGTGTAGAGACAGCTGGTGTATTCTGGATTTTTCAGTCTTCTTGAGGGAGTCTTGGATGGCTATGTATTTCCCCCTTAGCACCGCCTTTGCTGTTTCCCATAGGTTTTGGACTGAAGTGTCTTCATTCTCATTGGTTTCCATGAATTGTTTCAGTTCTTCTTTGATCTCCTGGTTCATCCAGGCATTCTTAAGCAAGGTGGTCTTAGCTTCCAGGTGTTTGAGTTCTTTCCGAACCTTTCCTTGTGATTGAGCTCCAGTTTCAAAGCATTGTAATCTGAGAATAGGCAGCGAATAATCTCAGTCATTTGGTATCGGATGAGTCCTGATCTGCGACCCAGTATGTGGTCTATTCTGGAGAAGCCTCCATGTGCACTTGAGAAGAATGAGTATTCTGTTGTTTTAGGGTGGAATGTTGTATATATCTATGAGGTCCATCTGGTCCAATGCTCCAGAAACAATGCTCTTGTTTCTTTATTGATTTTCTGTTTCAATGATCTATTTCTGAGAGAGACATGTAAAGTTCTCCTACTATTAATGTATTCCTATCAATATGACTCTTTATCTTGATTAACAGTTTTCTTATGTAATTGGCTGCTCCCATATTGGGGGCATAGATATTTACAATTGTTAGTTTATCTTGGTGGAGAATCCCTTTAAGAATGATGTAGTGTCCTTCTGTATCTCTGACTACTGTCTTTAGTTTAAAATCTAATTTGTGTGATATGAGAATCGCTACCCTGGCCTTCTTTTGAGGCCCGTTGGCATGAAAGATTCTTCTCCATCCCTTCACTTTCTGTCTGAGTGTATCTTTAGATTCAAAATGGGTCTCTTGTAGACAACGTATGGATGGGTCCTGTCGTTTTATCCAATCTGCAACCCAGTGTCGTTTTATGGGCACATTTAGGCCATTCACCTTGAGAGTGATTATTGATAGATACGTTTTTATTTACATCGTTTACCTTGAAGTCTTTCTTTCTGTAGAGTGTCTCTATATTTCTGTTCAATGATATTTTTAGGATTTTTTCCCTTTTATAGAACCTTGATATTTCCTTCAGTGTTGGCTTGGTGGTTGCATAGTCTTTTAAGCCTTGCCAGTCTTGGAAATACTTTTTTTTTTTCATTTGCAAATTTTAAGATAATTTTATTTCTTTTCCAATCCAAATACTTTTTTTTCACCCTTGACTAATTGCCCCATGTAGAACCTCTAATACAATACTGAATACAAGTGGTGAGAGTGGACATCCTTATCTCGTTATCAAACACATCAGGGCAAAGTTTCATTCTTACACCATTAAGATGTTCACTGTAAGTTTGTGATAGATGCCCTTCTATTTCTACTATCATGAGTGTTTTATCATGAAAACATACTAGATATTGTCAAATGCTTTTTTCTCCTCCTGAGATCGTGTGGTTTTTGTATTTTATTCTACTAATATTGCATATTACATTGATTGATGTTAGTTGGACCAACAAAATTGGTTGGATGTTGAACCAACCTTGCAATCCCAGGATAACCCCACTTGTGTGGGATTGTCTTTGTGTATAATCTTTTAGTAAGTTGCTGGATTCAATTTTCTGCTTTTCTGTTGAGGATTTTTGCATCTTTACCCATAGATATGCCATGTAGTTTTCCTTTCTTGTGATGTCTTTGATTGGTTTTGGTAACAGGAAATACTGGCCTCATAGAATATGATGATACATGCTTGAGCTTCTATTTTTCTTAGGTTTGTAAAGACTTAAGTTTGGTATTAACTCTTCCTTTTTTTTTTTAATTCTTTATCTCGCTATCCATTTGGAATGTTAGTCTCACTGGATAAAGTATTCTTGGCCGCAGGTTCTTCTCATTTAGTGCCCTGAATATATCTTGCCAGCCCTGTCTGGCCTGCCAGGTCTCTGTGGACAGGTTGGACGTTATTCTGATGCGCTTTCCTCTGTATCAAAGGAGCTTCTTTGTCCTGGGCTGCTTTCAAGAGGGTCTGTCTACAATTATAACTCTTCATTCGTGCTATTAGGTGTCTTGAGAATTTTCGAGAATCTATAATCTTGGGGGGAAACCATTCTGCCTCTAGTACATGAACGCTGGTTCCATTCATGAGATTGGGAAATTTTTCCTGGAGAACATGTTCCACTCTATCTTCTAAACTTCTTTCTTTCTCCTCCCCTTCAGGGATTCCAATCATTCTGATGTTGGAACATTTCATGGCATCATTGATTTCCCTGATTCTGTTTTCATAGCTTCTAAGCTGTTTGTTACAGGCTTCCTCCTGATCCTTCCTCTCTATCTGTTTGTCCTCCAAATCACTAATTCTATCTTCTGTCTCAGTTACTCTAGCTTTTAGAGAATTTAGATTGGATTGGAACTCATTGATAGCATTGTGAACATCATCCATGGTGGCTTTCCGTTCTACCCTAACATTGTGAACATCATCCCTGGTAGCTTTCAGTTTGGTTCTAATCAACTCCGTTTGGTCATCCATGGCTTTCACCAACCTAGCTATTGCCTGGATAATTGTTAGCTTGAATTCCCTTTCTGGCATATTGTCTATGTCGATAGCCATTAGCTCTGTTGCAGAAGGACCATCCTTTGAATTTTTCTTCTGTTGGGCATTCCTCCTCCTAGTCATTTTGGTGAGAGATGACTGAACAGATGTAGCTGGATGTATCGACTGTGGTGCAGTCAAGGTGCACCCTGGAACGCTTCTGAACAATCAGGATTCCCCACCCAAACGAGAGAAGAAAGAACATAAAAGGAAAAAAAAAAGGGAGGGAGAGAGACAGGAAAAAAAGGAAGCTAAAAGAGAAGGTTCAGCCCAAATGAGCCCCAAGGTAAGATTTATGAAGTATACAAACAAAAACAGACAAACAAAAAGACTGATAAAAGTATATGACAAGAGAAAATATATATATATATATATATATATATATATATATATATATATATATGCAAAAAAAGGAAGAACCTCATCTAAAAGAACCCGAAGTATAAGATTTATATACTATCAGGACAAACACAAATACACAGAAACACTGACAGAAGAAAAAGATGGGAGAGTGGTTATAAATTCTCAGTGTGGGCGAGGAAGGTTGTTTTGATTCTTCCTGGATGTGTCTTTATATGTTTGTTAAAGGACTCAACTTTCCTAAGATAAAGGGGGATTAAAAATTGGTTTACCTATAGGGGTAACATTCATTGGGGAAAGGGGATTACCTTGAAGTTTAACTCTATATGAATAATAGAAAATTTTAAAAAAAGGAATAAACTAAACTAAACTAAAATTTAAAAAAAAAGAAATTTTAAAAATAGAAATGCAAAAGAAAAACACAGGTCTATGTATCAAAAAGTTCAGGTTAGAAGGTTATTATGGAATTTGATGTACTGGACATCTCATTGTAATGGTAAATAGGTTAAAAAATTATCTATAAAAATTTAACCAGATTAGTAGGAATGAATTAAAAATAAAAGTTGTCCTATGAAGTAGTGGTGGTTGTTCTCTTGTCGTCTTTTTTTTTTTTTTTCATTCCTGGTTGGTTTTCTGGGAGAGGAGCCTGCCACGTGCGTTTTCAGTCAGTGATGTTCTCTGAGTTAAGTCCCCCTTGAGTGGGGTGGGTTCCGAGGAAACCGGTTTTTCAGGCTTTTGTTCTCTGGAGGTTTTTATGTTTGTCCATTTGTTTCTTTATGCCTTGACAGCTTTTGATGATTTTTGGAGGTTTAGAGGAAAGCAAACTGCACCCTGACCTCCCTCTCAGAGAGAAGCCTCAGTCTGTTCCCCTGTGGGTGCTGCAGAGCACATAAGGCCCCCCTCGGCTCCTGGCAGAGCAGGTTCTGGGTCGCTGTCCCTGGGGATGCAGGATCTCCTGCTTGTACCCAAAACCATGGCAGCGGCGGCTATCTGGGCAGCTCCACACCACCAGAGATGTTCCAAACAGTGATGGCACACTGAGATTTTCCCGCTGGCCTGGGCTGGGAGTGCCTGGTCTTTCCAGTTCCGAGAGCACCGTGCTGGCATCTGCAAGCACCTCTCCCGGGGTAGGATGTGGGGCAAGCGTGTCCAGGCTCTGATAGCATGGCGCAGTGTTCTGCCATCTGGCGAGGCTCCCAGCTCCTCATGGGAGCGGGACCTCACACATTCTCAGGTGAGCTGGTGGCTCAGGGACCAAGACCTGGTTTCTCTGCCACACTCTCTCTGGCTCAGCACCAGGGGAGGCTGTCCTGGGCCCAGGGACTTAAGCCCCTGTCCCTAACTGCCCCCATTCCCACAATTTTCCCCCGCAATCCTTTGCTCTTTTTGAGTGCTTTCAACCAGACTCCAAGTTAATGCTAGTCCCCAGATGCAGGGCACTATCCTATTAGGGTATTACTTTCCAATCGGTTGCCTCTGGTGGCTCCCTCCCGCTTTTGTTTATCTTCTGATGTCAGCCCAATGTTCCCACTCCACTTTACCTGCCCACTGGCATCTTCTGCCCCTCTAGAGATACAGACATGTATGATTCTGATCTCAGGCTGATTTCATGGGTGATCGGAGTTCTTTGGTAGGTAATCAGCTCACTTTAGGGTACAAGTTGAAATGGTGCCTCCTCCTACTTCCCCCCTATCTTGTCTCTGGGCCATATCTTCTTTATCTATTTGGCCGTTGAAAGGCATTTTGGCTCTTTCCACAGTTTGGCAAATGTGGCCATTTCTGCTATGAACATTGGGGTACAGATGGCCCTTCTTTTCACTAAATCTGTATATTTGGGGAAAATACCCAGTAGTGCAATGGCAGGCTCATAGGGTAGCTCTATTTTCAATGTCTTAAGGGGTCTCCACACTGTTTTCCAACATGGTTACACCAACTTGCATTCCCACCAACTCTGTAAGAGGGTTCCCCTTTATCCACATCCTTCCAACACTTGTTGCTTACTGACTTGTTAATTTTGGCCATTCTAAGTGGGGTAAGGTTGTATCTCAATGTGGTTTTGATTTCCATATCCCCAATGGCTAATAATGATGAACATTTTTTCATTTTTCATTTTCATTTTTCATTTGTATGTCTTCTTTGGAGAAGTGTCTGTTCATTTCTTCTGCCCATTTTTTGACATGATTATGTGTTTTTTGGGTGTTGAGTTTGAGTGGAAAAAAGCTAGTCTCTTTAATAAATGGTGCTGGGAAAATTAGACAGCTATGTGCAGAAGAATGAAACTCGACCATTCTCTTACACCATGCACAAAGATAAACTCGAAATGGATAAAAGACCTCAACTTGAGACAGGAATCCATCAGAATCCTAGAGGAGAACATAGGCAGTAAGCTCTTTGATATCGGCCATAGCAACTTCTTTCAAGACATGTCTCCAAAGGCAAAAGAAACAAAAGTGAAAATGAATTTTTGGGACTTCATCAAGATCAAAAGCTTCTGCACAGCAAAGGAAACAGTCAACAAAACAAAGAGGCCACCTATGAAATGGGAGAATATATTTGCAAATGACATTATAGACAAAGTGTTGATATCCAAGATCCATAAAGAACTCCTCAAACCCAGAAGATGAAATTTTCAAAATGGAGGTTATAATTCTAGAGTAAGAGAAGAGGATACCAGTAAGTGGAACAACACCCAAAAGTCCACTTTCAAGATATATCACTAGGTCAGTGAGGCAGTTATCAGAGCAAGTATGTTGGATCATCTGATTAAGTTCACAGAAAAAAGAAAAGGATTTCCAACTCTGTGCAAAAAGGGAGTCAGAAAATCAGTAAGTCATGTAATAAAGTAAGATTCCCAAGATGGCAGAAGAGTGGGGGACTCTGTTTCAACTGGTCCCCTGAATTTAGCTAGAAATCTACCAAGCCATGCTGAACACACAAGAAATCAGCCTTAGATGTAATAATATACATATATGGATCTCCACAGAGGCAGAGGATCATCAGTCAAGAGGTGCAAAGGACTGAGCTGTGATTTCATGGAAAGATACTGGAGAATAAGAGAAGGAGGGAGGGAACCACCAGAAGCTAGCCATTGGAAAGTAATACCCCAGTGTAAAAGTGTCCTGTGCCTGGGGACCAGTGATAGCTTGGAGACTAGTGGTGGCAAGACCAGAAGGGACTGATAACAGGGCTCAAACAGAACACAGGGATTAAGGGGCAAGTGCTGAGACTGCAAACTCAACACCCAAAAAAAAATAAATAATCAAATCAAAAAATGGGCAGAAGACATAAACAGACACTTCTCCAAAGAAGACATGCAAATGGCTAACAGACATATGAAAAACTGTTTATCATCATTAGCCATGAGGGAAATTCAAATCAAAACCAAATTGAGATACCATCTTACACCAGTTAGAAAGGCAAAGGTTAAAAGGCAAGAAACAACAAATGTTGGAGAGGATGTGGAAAAAGCAGAACACTATTACATTGTTGCTGGGAATGCAAGTTGGTACAGCCATTTGGAAAACAGTGTGAAGTGTTCTCAGAAAATTAAAAATAGACTAATTTCAGTACTGGTTATTTACCCCAAAGATATAAATGTAATGAAAAGAAGGGCCATTTGCATCCCAATGTTCATAGCAACAGCAACCACAATGGCCAAACTGTGGAAAGAGCTGAGATGCCCTTCAATATATGAGTAGATAAAGAAGATGTGGTCTATATATACAATGACATATTATTCAGCCATCAGAATGGATGCATCAACATGGATGGGATTAGAGGAGATCATGGTAAATGAAATAAGTCAAGCAGAGGAAGTCAATTATCATATGGTTTCACTTATTTGTGGAAAATAAAGAATAGCATGGAGGGCATTAGGAGAAGGAAGGGAAAAATGAAAGGGGGGTGAAACCAGAGGGGGAGGAAAACCATGAGAGACTATGAACTCTGGGAAACAAACTGAGGGGTTTTGAGGGGATGGGTTGGGGGATGGGTTAGCCCAGTGATGGGTATTGAAGGAGCATGTATTACATAAAATGGTGGGTGTTATTTGCAAACAATGAATCATGGAACACTATATCAAAAACAAGTGATGTAGAGATACGGGCTGGGTGCGGTAATAGTCAACTTGGATTGCTGACTGATTGAACACTTTCCACTTCAAGAGCACAGATTCACTGATCAAACTACATCTCTAATATTATTTAATGATAATATATGAAAGGTTTTTAAGAGAGTGAATCCTGGGGCTACTGGGTGGCTCAGTCGGTTAAGCATCTGACTCTTCGTTTCTGCTCAGGTCATGATCTCAGAGTCTTGATATCAACCCCCACATCAGCCTCCTAACTGAGGGTAGAGCTTGCTGAAGATTTTCTCTCCCGTTTTCATCTTCCCCTCCCCCCACCCCTTGTTCATGAATGTGTGCTCTTTCTCTAAAAGTGAGAGAGAGAATCCTGAGTCCTCATCACAAGGAAAAATTTTTTTTTGCTTTTTCTTCTTAGTGTATCCATATGAGATGATGGATGTTCCCTGACCTCAGTGTGATAATCATTTCACCATACATTAAGTCCAACCATTGTGCTGTCTACCTTAAGCTTATACAAGGATGTATGTCAACTATATCTCAATAAACTCAAAAAACAAAAATGGAGAAAAAAAAAAAACAAGTGAACCATGAGAGACTATGGACCCTGAAAAACAATCTGAGGGTTTTGAAGGGGCAGGTGGTGGGAGGTTGGGGGAACCAGGTGGTGGGTATTGGAGAGGGCACGGAATGCATGGAGCACTGGGTGTGGTGCAAAAACAATGAATACTGTTACACTGAAAATAAATTTAAAAAAAAAAGTGATGTACTGTATGGTGAATAACATAACATAATAAAAAAATTTTAATTTTTTTTATTTTTTCAGTGTTCCAAGATTTATTGTTTATGCACCACACCCATAAATACATGCAATCCTTAATACCCACAACCAGGCTAGCCCATTCCCCCACCTCCCCCCTCTAAAACCCTCAGTTTGTTTCTCAGAGTTCATAGTCTCTCATGGTTTGTCTCCCCCTCCAATTTACCCGATCTCACTTTTCCTTTCCTTCTCCTAATGTCCTCCATGCTATTCCTTATGCTCCACAAGTAAGTGAAATCATATGATAATTGATTTTTTGAATGAATAAATAAATGTTCTGCTCTCAGAAAAGTGGAATTTGTCTCCCCACTCCTGAAGTGCATACTGCACATAGTAACTGACTTACAAAGAGCCCAGTTTGAGAAGGGAAAAAGAATATTTATAGTAAGGAAACCTAACAAGCACTTAGCCACGTTATCAGTGCCACAGTGAACTGTGACAAGATATGTTATTAATATTTACCCTTGATATGTTGCCTTTCTCCCCAAAATCCATAGCCCCTGTCAGACCATGAGAAAAGCATCAGACAAATCCAAATCAAGAGATATTTTATAAAATAATCGACCACTACTCCTCAAAATTTAACTTTGTTAAAACAAGATAAGTCTGAGAAACAGTCACATCTAAGAGGAGCCAAGAAGAAAGGATGATTAAATGTAATGCATTACCCTGGATGGAAGATAAATACAGGAGAAATTGGGTGTGGAATTGATGGGGACTATCTTCACAATTTGTCCATGAGTCTAAAGCTGTTTATGAAGTAAAAAAAAATAATAATAAAAATTAATATTAGTGAAATGTAAACATCTTAGAGACAGCAATCTCTGAACATGACACCAGCGTCCATTATGTACTTGTTGTAAGTCTCACATTCTTTATCCATAAAATCAGAATAAGAACTTCATAGTCATGAGGTAGTTAAATAAAATAATGAATAAAAATACCCATGTGTGCCTAGAATTAATCAGTGAACTTTTGAACACAATTTTTCAATGGCTCACACATTCATTCCCCACCTCCCATCCCTACCTCCAACGTGTTATTTTCACTCCTGTTCTCTGTATGATTTTGATAATTAGCAATTCTCTGTTCCCTGCATTCACCTGGGTCGTCTTTTCACATACTGAGCCCTACCATGAACATAATCTACTGTAAACTCTGATTTGACTCCACTAATTTTAGAACTAAGTATTAATCCAATAATGAAAATGTAAGGTCTTGCCTATCTGGCTGCTACTTAGACCAATTCACATTTGACTCTTTGTCTTCTGTCCTCATCACTGGTCAGGTAGTAAGAACTACATCAAAAACTAATGATGTGTTATATGTCAGC